GCCCCCGGCCCGGTTAGGGGGCGACACTGGGGGTTGCGATCCGTTGCCGGACACGGAAAAAAAAAAAAAAAAAAAAAAAAAAAAAAAAAAAAAAAAATCTCATTGGTCCCCAGGTGTACAGGGCTTAGCCTAGTCATGTGTTCATGGCACACTTGCAGCAAAGCCCCTTTTCTTGACTGACTCCATTTTATTCTCACAGAACGAGTACTGTTTTGTGTGCCTCTATTTTTTTTTTTTTGCACTTTTTAACTGGAATATAATATCCATACACTGAAGTACACAAATCTTTACTAGATGACTCAGAGGACTATGTATTCCCATGAAAGCACACTCAGATCAATACATAGAACATTCCCAACATCCGAGAAACCTTTCTTGTTTTCTACTCTCTATCGATTCTGCTTCCCAAAGGTAACCATTATTCTACTCTCTTCTCCACAGGTCACTCTTGCCTGTTCTTGGGCTTCATGGAGGTGGAGTCGTACCTTCGCATGTACTCTTTGTGGGTCTCACTTCTTTCACTCAGCTGTGAGACTTCATCTGTGTTCTTGCATGTGGTAGTAGTTTGTCTCCTGCCTCCTCCTATACTTTGTCTTTCTGCACAGACCTGGGATAAGTCTGTACAGAGACATTATGAGAGCCAGAGCAGCACAGAGATGAAAGTTTCCTGTTTTCACTCACAGAATGTCTTTTTTTCTCATGAAAACCACCCCTCTGATTTCTTGCAAAGCTTGACTGCGCTCTGCTCTTTCCAGCACCAAGTCTACTTTGAAAGGAATCTCTTGGGGCCTTGTGTGTTTGCCTTGGATGCTGTCAGCATAAAACAATTTTCTTGAGCCCTTCTTCATTTGGAATGGGTGGAAGAAGAGAGTAAGAGAGGGATGGTTTCGGGAAGGACATTTTTAGGCAAAGGAAAAAACAGCAACTGAAGGCGTCACTGGGACCTGGATCCTGGAAGCCAGCCTTCTGAGCAGAGATTTACATCACTCTCTTGTGCTGCTCCCCTTCTAGCCTTCTCCGTTGGGAGCTCAAGGGCATAAAAAATTCATTGCAAATCTGTCTCTCTTGGGGCTGGGCAATGAGGTTTGAATTCAGGCTGACTCTTGAGAAGCCTTTCTTCCTCCAAGACTATGGGTAACAGGCTTTCCCTGTGAAGCCAGCGTGGCTTTCTCTATGAAAACACTCCACCCCAGCACACACTTGAGAGCAGGGGGAAAGCTGATGCTTTTCAGTGGAGTCTGAAATGAAGATGGAAGGGACTAGTTATTCTTCTAAGCGTGGTCATGCAGATAAGTGAGGATCAAGTAGGAAAATTGAAACTGTGCATTAGCTCTAGTGACTGGTTGTCTTTACCTTTCCTTTAGGTTTCTGCTGGTTCTGTGCCTTGTGTCTGGAATAGTGGACTGGAATATTTGGCTAAGACTTAATCAGAGATTCTTTGAACTAAAATAGTTAGAATATTTTATTAAGTTTATTGAGTAATTTCTATATCCCTGGTTCTTACTAGGGGCTTTGCAATATATTATTTGAATTATTCTCCACAGGACTTGGGAAGGTAGGTATGATTATTTCCATTTACAAGTGAGTAAATAGAGGGTTAGAGAATTTAAATTTCCTGCTAGTAAGTGACAGATAGTAAGAAGTAAGGCTGATATTCAGACTAGGTCTCTCAGGTTCCAAAGGCCATGTACCTTGTACTGCACCACGCTACCTTTTTAAAACGACCCCTGCCTTTCTGACATTCCATCTTCCCCGCTTCAACACATTCTCTTAATGTTTGTCCAATAAGTGACTGCTTTTAGAGCAGCTGAAAGCTGCAAAATTTTGTCACTTAATTTGGATTTTAGCTAGTTGCTGAAGCTTCACTGTAACACAGTGCACAAATCATTACTAGCTGGCTCAAAGGATCTATTACATTTTATTAAAGGAATTTAAAATAATATTTAGAACCACAGAGAATAGTGGAAAAGACCCTGATGGATATTAAGGAAACACTGGTTTCAGTCCTAATGTCACCACAAATCAAAACAAGCCGTAAGACCTTAGTACAGACCTAATTTCTGTGTGCTTCGGTTTCCCTCATCTGTGAAATGAGGAGGTTGAAGTATGTGATTATTAATGTCCCCACCTATTCTAAAAACATGAGCTTCTGTGATCTTTTTTTGTTTGTTTATGTGATTCTAGAATGGTTTTAGAGTATAAATATTTCTTAAAGAAACCTTAATTATTAAATGCAAATCCAGTGAAGTGAATAACATTGAGGCTTTCAAAACTCCAGCAAAGCTACATTTTCCGTGTTTCCCAGTCCATCATTTACATAGAAAAGGGTATAGGTTCCTTTCTTTCTTTTCTTTTTTTTTTTTAAAAAAAAGACAACCGGTAAGGGGATCTTAACCCTTGACTTGGTGTTGTCAGCACCACGCTCTCCAAAGTGAGCTAACCGGCCATCCCTATATGGGGATCCAAACCCGTGGCCTTGGTGTTATCAGCACCTCATTCTACCAAGTAAGCCTCGGGCCGGCCTTAGAGTATAGGTTCTTAAATAATGCATATTGGAGCTTAAATTCCTTGAGGGTCTGGCAGGCTTTAATCTTAGATAAGATGGCATAAATTATTGCCAATAGCCAATGTCAGGTTGCCAGCCCAAATAAATATAAGTCCCTCCCTGTTCAGAATATGAATTTAAAGTATAAACTGTTTTATATCTGATACCACTGAATAGAATTAAGGCACTGTTGAGCAACTCTAAGAATAAGAAATAAGATGATAATATGGTATAATTCGTTAAGAATGTGCTATACTTGAAGAAATTGTTACTTTGTCATTTTAGACCAAGTAAAGAGAAAACTGGCCATGTGAGTGACTCGGGAGCATGTGTTATCCAGCACGGACTCAATCCCGAGAAAATCTTCATGCAGGTTCATTATTTAAAGGTAAGCACATGTATGTGGCAGAAGCCAGTTCTTATGGTACGGCATTTTTTGGTTATGTAATTAAATAATGAAGATTAGTAACATGGCTGATGCACAACACAAAAATCATCAACATTTTAATGATATCTGACTGGGCAGTTAGTTATCTGAGTGTCCAATAATTACAGCACTTCATACCCAGGAAAATAAGGCCGCATTAGGAAGGTGTGAATCCAAGGACACTGAAATAGTCCCTGCCTGGTACCTCCCTTCTCCCTGTGGCAGGCCAGCAAGTCATTTAAGTTGTAAAGGTCTTGTCTGGTGGCGGAGCAGAGAGGAGCTGGGCCTCTCTTCCCTCTTAGTTCATGATGGACATCCAGGCTTCATGTGAACCAAGTTAAAACAGAGCTGGCAGTAATGTTAACAAAGGAGAAGAAAGCTGTGTAGCCCATCCGTAATTTCTGGACCCAGCCTTCCCAGCCAGAACAGAAAGGGCAGCCTGGGACAGCTGAGATGGCACGTGCCAGATGCCATAGTGTAGCCGGGAAGCTAGAGTTGACTGTGGAAGCATTTCTGCAACAAACCCATAATAGGCATCTTTTTTTCTCTCTCCTTCCTTCCTTTTAGGGCTACTTCCTTCTTCGGTTCTTTGCCAAAAGACTTGGAGATGAAACCTATTTTTCATTTTTAAGAAAATTTGTGCATACGTTTCATGGGCAGTTGATTCTTTCCCAGGTAATTTATGGGTCCCCATGAGTCCATAATATAGAATTGGTGGGGGTGTGGCCTGTGGGGATTAGATTATGCCAGTATCAAAAAATAGGAAAAAGATTTGCAATTGAATGCAGTGGGAACAATAGGCAGGTAATGAAGCAGACACAAGGAAAGTGTTGTTTCAGGGAGGATGACCTCTCCAGGTTGGGGACAGACTGTAACCCAAAGCTGTCTCGCACACAGTGGTGTGGATAATTGTGCCTTAAATGACCTTAAAAACAAAAACAATTGTGCTGTTCCCTCTACCTGGAACTATATGTTTGAAGAGGTCGCCTCCCTTTTACGGTTAATCTGAGATTGAACGTCACAACCTCAGAGTCATCCCAGCTGAGCAGATGCACATCCAGCCTCTCACTCTCTACCCCTTCGCCCTGTTCATTGCCTTCATTATCATTGCCATTCTCTATAATTAGACTTTAATTTATGGGGCTATTTGTTTCTTTTGGATCTGCACCACTCTATGTTTGAGCTAAACAAGGCCAGACCATGCTCTTTATTTCACCAGTACGTGGTACATGATTGGCATACAGTGGCTACACCATAAATATTTGATAAACAGATTAATAACAATATACAATGAAATATCCAGACAGCCTGGCCAGGAAACTGTCAGAGAAAGATCTTGTCAGCTGGTGAGGGCATGGAGCCGAGTAGCACATAGTGAGGATGCTGACAGGTGGTGAGTCTGGAGGCAGCACTGGCGCCGGACAGACAGGTGGAGGACAGCCGACACCCCCTCAGCACGGGCGGCACTGAGGTCGCTTCAGACACTTGATGATGGTGCACACTCATAGCTGTGAGCCACACTATCCACAGTGTTAGAGGTGGAGGATGCACTCGGGTAGTCCGAACATGTGAAGGGAATAGCGCGAGTGTGACCAGACTATACGGCTCTTCCTCACCTCTGTGTTCTTTTCATTTTTCTGGTGGGGTTGGGGAAATTCTCTCTGCACGTGTATTTGCAAAGGCAATTTGAAAACTGGTTCAGAAGTCTTGCATGCTTGGTTAACTGATTAGTCCAAATTCCTACTGAAGAAAACAACTTGTCACGAAGACACTGCAGTGTTACATGAGTGCACTGCACTTACTGTGACTTCTTTTTTTTTTTGTCTTTTTTTCCGTGTCCGGCAACGGATCACAACCTTCAGTGTTGCCCCCGTACCGGACCGGGGACCGGCAACGGGATCGCAACCCTCTGTGTCGCTCCCGCGCCTTGCTCAGCCAGTGAGCGGGAACCGGTCTGTATGTGGGATCCGAACCCTCGGGCGGGAGCGCCGCCGTGCTTCCCAAGCGGCGCACTATCCAGTGCGCCACCGGGCCGGCCCTTACTGTGACTTCTGAGGTTCCAATCGCCACGTCCCATGGAACTCTTAGTGCTCGCTCAGTCAGATCATTCAGTTTTTCTTTTGTTTATTTCTTTTGAATAATAAATGTGTTGTTTTTTTTTGAAACAACTTTATTGAGATAAAATTCACATACCACAAAATTTACCATTTTAAAGAAAAAACAAGTCAATGGTTTTTGGTATAATCACAAGGTTTTACAACCATCACCATTTATCTAATTTTAGAACATTTCCATCAACCCCAAAAGAAATCATTAGTAGCCACTTCCCTATTTCCCCCTCCTACCCAGCTCTAGGCAACCACGAGTCTCCTTTCTGGTTCTATGCATTTGCCTATTCAGGACATTTCTTATAAATGAATCCTGTAATATGTGACCTTTTGTATCTGGCTTTCTTTCACTTAATGTAATGTTTTCAAGCTTCATGTGGCGTGTATTAGTCCTTCATTCTTTTTCTAAATTAAAGTTTTAATTTTATTAATTGTAATAAAATATATATAACATAAAATAAACCTTTTAGCCATTTTTAAGTGTACAGTTCAGTGGCATCAAGTACATTCACATTTTTGTGCAGCCATCGCAATCATTCATCTCCAGAACTTTTTCATCTTCCCAGACTGACACTCTGAACCCATTAAATAATAACTCCCCCAGCCCCTGCCAACCACCATTCTACTTTCTGTCTCTATGAATTTGACATTATGTAAGTGAAACCAATTTGTCCTTTTGTCCTTTTGTGTCTGGCTTACTTCACCTTCAAGGCTCGTCCATGTTGTTGCACGTGTCAGAATTTCGTTACTTTGTGAGGCTGAATATTCCGTTGCTTGTATGTACATTTTGTGTATCCATTCATCTGTCCAGTGAACATTTGGGTTTTCTCCATTGCTTGCCTATTGTGAACAGTGCTGCTATGAAGTCTTTGCTTTCAGTGTTTTTGCATATATATCCAGAAGTGGAATCGCTGTCTGATACCGTAATTCTGTGCTCACTTTTTTAAGGAGCTGCCACGCTCTTTTCCACAGTGGCTGCACTGTCTGACGTGCCCACCGGCAGTGCACAAGGGCCCCGGTTTCTCCACACACTTGCCGGCCCTTGTTGCCCTTGTTTTGTTTGGTGGTAGCTGTCCTAGTGGGTGTGAAGTGACTCTCATTATGGTTGTGATTTGCACTTCTCCGGTGGCTGATGATGGTGCCCATTTTCATGTGCTGATTGGCCATTTGTATAACTTTATTGGAGAAATGTTTATTCTGATCCTTTGCCCATTTTTCATTTGGGTTATTTGTCTTTTATTATTGAGTTGTAAGAGTACTTTATATATTCTGGATATAAGTCCCTTCTCAGATATACAGTTTGGAAATATTGTCTTTCATTTTGTGTGTTGTCTTTTCACTTTCTTGATAGTGTCCTTTATAGCACAAAGTTTTTAATTTTGATGAAGTCTAATTTATCTATTTTCTCTTTGGTTGCTTGTCCTTTCAGTATCATATGTAAGAAACCATTGCTTAGTTGAAGGTCACATAGATTTACTCCTATGTTTTCTTCTAAGAGTTTTATAGTTTTAGCTCTTACATTCAGGTCTCTGATCTATTTCAAGTTAATTTTTGTATATGGTGTGGGGATGATGGTCCAACTATTCTTTTGCATGTGAATATACAGTTGTCCCATAACTCTTTGTTAAAAAGACGATTTTTTCCCTCCATTGAACTGTCTTGGTACCCTGGCTGAAAATCAACTGACCATTAATGAAGGAGTTTATTTCTGAACTCTCAATTCTATTCCATTGATCAGTATTTCTATCCTTATGCCAGTCTTGATTACTGTAGCTTTGTATTAAGTTTGGAAATGATTGCTTTTTCAACTGGCACATACTTATTATTAAAAACTCAAGCAATACAGAAAAGTACAAAGAATAATGTGAAAAAAATATATATATATATATAAAAACAGTATTCAAAATGCCACCACTCACACATACTTATTATTAAAAACTCAAGCAATACAGAAAAGTACAAAGAATAATGTGAAAAAAAATATATATATATATATAAAAACAGTATTCAAAATGCCACCACTCCGAAATACCTGTAATATTACATGCATATCATTCCAGAAATCACATTTTCTGTTTCTCTCTTTCTCTCTATGTTATATATGATGTGTATGCATGCATCTGTATGTGTATGTGTACATGGTGTGTGTGTGTGTGTACACATATACAGATATCATAAGGCAGAAGTAATTTTATAAAAATTAAAGTGAAGATAAAGAACTTTCTGAACTTCAGATAAATGTAAGAGAAATCATTTCCTGAAAGATTCTTCTATGATTAAGAAATATTTTTACCAAAAAAAATTGTTGAGGTCGAAATTATTTTTCCCCTTTGACTTACCTATATATTTCATTTTTAAAAAACATCAGCTTATCCACTACCATAAAAGATGAGGAAATCAGCAGTTACATAGTTCTTCTACTGCTTTTCCTCCAGTTCTAAATTTTTGTTAAATATTATTTTTACATTGTTAAGGTTTGTTTCATCACAGTATGTGCTGTAATCATGATTTTCACAGTTCTGTAGTCTTAGCGCTATGTTTAAAGGGTTTCAGTATTCACCACCAGTCATTTTACCGTGCTTCTATATTCATGAATATTTTATTTTGATTCAATTCTTTTTTGGCTGAATTTCATTACCAAATTGATGTTCAAGTTGCAGACTCACAGGCTGTGTGATTTCTGCTTTCTTACTGCTTGAGAAGGTTTGCCTGTTGTCTTTATATTTGATTTACAAACTGCCTGAGTATAATAATCTTGGGTCATGTTTTCATTTTCTCAGAACTTTGTAGACATTGCTCAACTGCCTCTGGCATTAAAAGTTTCTGTAGAAACTTCTGAAGTCAGCCTACTTTCCCACCTTTATACCACTTAGATGACAGATGAATTCTTTATATTTAAAGTTTAGTTATTTAATCAGAAGATGGCCTGGTGTGCCTGATTTTGTGTCATCACTGCCTTCGCCCCCAGATAACAGTGTGCATTTTTAGTCTTAGATTCTCTTCTTCAAGTTTAGTTATTTAATCAGAAGATGGCCTGGTGTGCCTGATTTTGTGTCATCACTGCCTTCACCCCCAGATAACAGTGTGCATTTTTAGTCTTAGATTCTCTTCTTCTTTTTTTTTAGTGAAATTGTTTTAATTTACCTTTGAACACACTGCAGGGTTCTGGGTTTCAAGGTTACCACTTACCCTTGTGTTACCTATACCTGTTATTTTCAAATTGCTTTTATGCAACCCCCTTATTATTAATGTTATTCTCTTTAATGTGTGTTCTTTTCCTTGCTTTTTCAACTTTTTATTTCAGTATTTTATTAATACTCCTATTCTGACATTATTTTGGTTCTTAATTTATTTCCTTTGCGTTGAAATCTCCCTTTTCATCTCATTTGTTGTTTTATCATCTTTGAGCTTTCTAAATTTTACTGAATTTATGTTCGTAGTATGTTTCTTTTTGTTAATTTATTTTACAGTGTAAAGCATTCGCAGAGAATTTTCTTCTGTTCCTGGATTATGACTTCTTCCTGACTGGAATCTTTGTCTTTTGTATGTTGTGCTGCTTTCTGTCTGTCTGTCTGTCTGTATGTGGTGGTTGTACTGGTTTGCATAGTTGCCACACTTTTCTCTTGGCTCCTTCTTACCATGGGTAGCACTGTCCTGACCTTTTATTTATTCACATATATACTGGAACCTTACCATTAATTTCTTGCCTAACTCATCTTAAATCTATCTTTCTTGCTCTCTATGGTTTGAAACTGGTATATTGTGCGTGGAGGACAAGGAGAGGCCGAGCTCCACTGGAGTTGCATATAGCCTTTGTTGGAAGAACTTGGCTTCCCTACTCTTGAAAATTTATTAAATGTCCCCCGCCAAGATTCTCATGACCTAACATGGGTGTAGCCTTTTCCCATTGCTGGTACCCTCTCAATTAATATCCTTCCTCCAATTGAGGTTGGAGTCCTAGAATCTGTACATTTCATCAAAGAGAGTGTCTTCAGTTGTTTATTTCACATATTTTTCTTATCTCTCTCCAATAAACATTTCCAGTCCCTCCATAGTCAAAAAGGAGGAAAGATAAAGACATTACTGTTTTTTTCCAAATATGTGGTATTTGTGAGAATTTGTAAGGCTTGGGCAATTCACCAGTCCCGCTACTGCGGAGCATGAGGTTGGGGTGGTGCAGAGGGAGAGCGAGAAGCTGTGTTGGAATCTTATGTTTCATTCCTTGTTTGCCTTTTTTTTTTTTTTAAGTTTATGCCGTGAGGCTGTACTTCTTTCCTTGTTTGGGTGATGGTGATCAAGTTTTTGCTATTTTTTTTTAATGGATCATGTTTTTGTTTACATCGCTAGTTAGTTATTGATGAGGAAGGGCTATGATCCAGTTCCTTACTCAGGAGTCCCTCAGGTTCTTCCTTTTCCAATTTCTTTCCTAATCCTTTTCTCTCCAAACATCCCACCTACCCAGCATTTCAATATTGTCGTCTTTTCCACCCCTACTAAAACTTTCCTGACAATTTCACTTCTTCCTCAGTTCTTAGTGGGCCAATCCTGTTCTTGCTTCAACATTTTGATTATTTGTTTTGGTCCCCCCTTCCCCATGACCATGGTAATTATTCATGAAACATCTGACAGAATTTGCTAGTCCTGTGTAATTATCAAGCCAATGTGAGTTTATCCAGTAGAATCTACGTGCACCTGCTTTTTATTGAATACTTTCACCAGGACTGAAAAATAATTACCAAATTATCCATGTGCCAAAAATCAGTGTTAGTTTTTAAAAATTGAATGCTTAATTTAGTGTCGTTAGGTATTAGTCAGAACAAACTGTGTGGGACTGACCTGATTAGCATATAGATTATTAGGAGAGTAGGAATTAAATGAAAAAAAATTCTCAAGGTATGTGTTTTCTTACTGGGATGTGGACTTATAATCATTGCCAAGGATCAAGATAAAATTTTATTACAGGCCCTTCTCATAACAACAGGTTTTTTGTTTTTTGTCTTTGGTTTTAATTTTGTCTTCAGGCATACTGCAGAGGTGACAAACTGGGACCCCTACTATTTATTGCTAGTTGGCTTTGTCAGTGATTCTAGAATCAGCCATGAAGGAAAGCCCTCCTTGTCCAAGTGAGATTTGTAAGTTGCTTTCACGAAAGTCCCAGAACCAAAGGGAAGGAAGAAGACAGATGAGGAATTGAAAAGAGGTGGCGAGGGGAGGAAGAGCCACAGAGACACTGTCCTTTTTACTTCATTCTGTTGTGGAAAGTGGGGGAAAGCTACTGTCACTAGTCCACTCCAGGGGTATGTGCCAATTTAGGAAAAGAATCAGGAAAACTAGCATTTCATGGTTAAAGATTGGGTCTATGAAAGGAGTTAGAAGGGCCAGTGAGGTCACTTCTGCCTGGAGGAGACCAAGTATCTTCCTGAAGTGGATGGAGCACAGGGCGGAAGAATATCTATCGCTGTAGGAACAGCATTCCCATAGCCTGTGCGAGTATGGGCACTGCGCCCCAGAGATGCCAGGGTGTTAGGTTTTGGGATCATCCTGGCATGGGTTGGCAGCCTCTTTCTTGTTCAATGCTGTGTTGCCTGCAGTTCTCAGTTCCAAAGCAGGAACAGGCAGATGCTCCAGCATGGCCACCTGCTAGGAGGCAGGACAGCTGTCTTTCTTAAAAAATAAAGTAGGGCTTGTTGGGGACCTCCTGCACTTATCCTGTATTCACACAGAATTCTGGATCTTTGTGCTCTGCCATCCTGTGAAGAACAACCTAACTGTGATTGGAAATGCAAAAGGGCAGAATTAAGGTTAACTCTGAATTTCCTGCTTCTCACGCAGTTAAATTCTCCCCCTTGCCATTGAGTTAATGTAATTTTTCCTTTACGTAATTGAGCATAAATGACCAGGCAAACATGAGATAAGTTGATATGGGCTATAAGGAGATAATGAAGTGAAATTAGTAAGAAGTTTTAACTACAGTACTTGGATTTTTTTTTTTTTTTTTTTTTTAAAGATGACCGGAAAGGGGATTTTAACCCTTGACTTGGTGGTGTTGTCAGCACCATGCTCAGCCAGTGAGTGAACCGGCCATCCCTATATGGGATCCGAACCTGGGGCCTTGGTGTTATCAGCACCACACTCTCCCGAGTGAGCCACGGGCCGGCCCAGTACTTGGATTTTTAAGAATCAAAAATCCTGTCAATAAGCCAATGAAAAGGTAATCTACAAAGTAATCTATTAATATATTGGATTTCTAAAGTAATCTATGAATACAGTAGATTATAATAAATGAATTTTAAATTCAACATTTTTGCAAAGTAATTTAGAAATAATAGAAATAATGACTTTAAGAACCTCAACCAAAAATAATTCTTTGCATTCTAAATACTGCTCTTGTTTCCTTTGGTATTTTTCTCGATGTATCCACTGCAGGTGCAAGGAAGGACTTTAGTTGTGAGACATTAATCAACTTGGAGTTGTCCCTCCCTCCATTTTTTCTGCATGATTCATTTTTTAAATATTATTTTTTCTTTGTATTGCTTACTTTAGGTAAAGCAGTAATAGGCAAGTAATGTCTTAGGAGGAGAACAGAAGTTGCAAGAAATAATGTTTCATTAGTGCTCTTAATAGGGAGACTTTGCCTCTAGAAGAAATGGACCGTAACCACCTGTAAACATACAGAACTGGGGCAGCTAGCGTCTCTAATGCAGTGATGCCTGTACTTCAGCGTGATGGTAGAAAAAGAGCACCTTGTCACACATGCTGTTTGCAGACTCCTGTTCCTCTGTAATTCCATCTGTTTTGTAATACAAAGATCTGCACTGCTGCTTCATCTCCCACTCGGAGTTAAATAGATCTCCTCAGAGCCCCATGTTGACTGTATTTGCAGACCTGGTTCTTTTGGGAAGGCTTCAGTCTGGAGTGACTCTCGTTTGGCATTGTCACATTTGGTCCTCTGGGCTTTCTACATTAAAGGGCCTGTTTTAAAAGATTATTTTCTATTTATTAAAAAAACTTATAGGGCCTGTCCGGTGGCGCACTCGGTAGAGTGCGGTGCTTGGGAGCGCGGCGGTGCTCCCGCCGAGGGTTTGGATCCCATATAGAGACCGGTCGGCTCACTGGTTGAGCGCGGTGCGGGCGCAACATCGAGGGTTGCGATCCCGTTGCCGGTCGCAGTACGGGCGCGACACCAACGGTTGCGATCTCGTTACTGGTCACGAAAAAAGACAAAAAGGAAAAAAAAAAAACTTATAAGTGGAGATTTTATTTGTTTTTCAATAGCATTAGGTTCCAAGAAAGTTAAATATTATTCTTTATTTGTTTCATGTTCCATCCAAAATGCATCTTATCAAACCCTCAGATGATGACAGGTTGACACTAGGATTACCTGTTTAGCAAACAAAAATACAGAACAGAAAAACACAGTTAAATTTGAATTTCAAATAGGCAACAAATAATTTTTTAGAGTAATTATGCCCCCAGTTCAACTGGGCATCCTGTAGTTCATCTGACAGCCCTAGTAAAGACCAAATCAAGATTCCAGAATTAGATGTGCTGGAAAGGTGAGTTACAATACTCAAGGTGCAAATTAGATGTAAATGAACACATTCGTATTTGAATTTTTTACATCCTATGTATTGTGGATATGTTTTAAAAGATTTTGTATCTTTTAAAGATATTTACTAAAATATTTATTGATGAAATTATGTAACGTTTGGGATTTGCTTCTAAGTAATACAGGAGGCAGGGAAGTGGATGGGCAGGATTGGCTGTGGGTTGATGGCTACCTGAAGGGTAGTTATATACTGTTTTGTCTACTTTTGATTGTGTTTGAAATTTTCTGTAGTAAAGGAAAAAATGGTGTCTCTTTGTATGTAAGTCATGCCTTTAGGTTAAAAAAATCTATCATGTAAACGTCTCAAATGTCCAGCAGCTGAGGGCTTGCACAGCAGCACAGCAAGAGGCTGCAGGTGAAGGCAGGGGCTAGTGAACCATGCTCAGAGGTATGGAAAATTTGTTCACAACAGGCATACGTATCATCTTGACTTTTGTCTTTATCTTTCCATACAGCAATGCAAGAAAATTGCAAGTTAAGTAGCCTCTAGGAGTTCAGATTGTACAGTATGTAACAGGGATATCTAGGTAAAGCTCATGAAGAGGAGTATGTGGGTAAGTCGAAAAGGATAATGCTTTATGCAATGGCCAGCCTTTTGAAAATGGCTAAATGCAAAATGAAATAAACTGTTCAGTTAGGTCAAAATAGCAAATATTACATTTTTCAATTTGTTAGTGGTTTTTACAAAACAAATTTCTTTAAATGAGTGGGTCGAAACCCTAGAAAGTTAATAAATTGAGTATGTAGTCTAAGAAGTTGGCATAGGTCTAGCTTCCCTAGCAGGTGAGCTGTCAGCAGCTGGGAATGCTCAGTCTCTGGCATGGTTCCAGGCAGAGTTATTTGGTGATGGAGATCTTTAATGGTTTGCTTTTTTCTTATTCCAGGATTTCCTTCAAATGCTGTTGGAGAACATCCCAGAAGAAAAAAGGTGAGGGCCAATTTAAGAATTAAGTGACCAGTTTTACTTTTAATGTTAAAAATGAACCTGCCATTGTTGCTTGTTACAACCTAGAAAGTTCAATCTTCCTTCCTTAATAGAGGCAGGGACCTAGCTTAACCAGCGGGAGCCACAGGATAATCAACTCAACTTTGGGGACATGGATATCAGGAGCCAGCACACACAACCCAGGATCCCCAGAGTCAGGAGCCCTGGGAAAGGGCATAGGAGACAAGCCAGCCTACTGTGAAGAATGGAGGAAAGTTCTAAAAGTTAGGGTGGCTTCAGTTAATGTGGCTGAATGTAAGGAAAAACTGCGTAATTGAAGGGGAAATTGTAACGTAGTGATAAGATCCTGGGATATAAAGTCAGGCTCCCCTCGGTTCTAAACCCAGCTCTGCCACTTCCCAGCTATGAGATTCAGAGCAAGCCACTTAATCCTTCCAAATTTTAGTTTTTTAACCTCTCTGGCAGGGTTTTAAGGAGGATTAAATGAGCTACCATATGTTTAAAACTAGGTACTCCGTTAATGATTGATATAGTTATGACAACATATTCATCTTCTGTGCATCAGACACTACATGCAGCATCTACTTGCAGCAATCACCTACCCTTTATAACAGCACTCTTTGTCATCATGATCATAACAGTGATTATTATAAGCCAACACTTATTGGGAGTCTGTTGTATACAGACACTCGTCTAATCCTCAGAACAGCACTATTTGGTGCATTATATTTTTATTCCTATTTTACCAAGGGGGCTTGAGGACTAAGATTGGTTCCAAGAGACTGAGTAACCAGCCCACTATGTCACAGCTATAGGTGGCAGGGCTGGGATTTGAGCTGAAGCAGTCTGGCTCTAGAGCCTATGCTCTTATCCACTATGTTACAAATGGGGAAACTGAGGCTGACAGAAGTCAGTAGCTTTTCTGAGATCCCTTAGCAAGCAAGATAGCATAGATTGGAATTAGGTCTGTTAGCAAGCTCACTGCCCTGTAAAGGAAGGAGATTCTCATCATTGGAGGTGTCCACTTTTAGGTGGGCTCACCACCTACAGGTTTGTAGAGGAGGTTTAAGACCTATGTTATGGGTTAGACTAGGTTCATTCCAACACTCTTCTTCTAATGTCCTATCTTAACTTGGACCCTAAAAGTGAATACCCTGAAACATAATTTCTAATAGTAAAGTTGGTATTCAGACATTATAGGGGAAGGGCACATTTTGAGAAATTGAGCAATTCTTTAAAGAAGATCTAACATTACTTTCCTCCTTTTTGAGCCACAGTTTTAGCTATGTTTTTATGCATATAACAGATTCCCAAATGTGGAAATGATTCTTTGACGCTGACATAGACTTAGATTCATGCAAGGCCAGTCACCTACATGCTGATGAGCCTGTCATACAGGCGGTCTGAATGGGGCATCTCAGGGGTAAGGTGTGGGGCCTATGCTGCCAGGCTGTGTGCAGGAGATGACATGCAAATTCAGGAGAGGACCCAGGGACGGTAAGGTTGTGGAGGTTTTTTCTAAGCATTGGATTTTTGCCTGGCCTTTTCTGTTTAAACATCCCCATCTTCCACCTTCCATTTAGATCGGTGCTAAATTCTTTCTTCAGGAGGTAGGAGTGTTATTGTTAGTTTTGGGGTTTTTTTATAATGAGGTAGAAACACACACATACATAAAGCAAGCTAGTACATCAGACGGAATTAGCGCATGCATATTATTTGATAAATTTCCTTGCTTCTCCCTCTTCGTGTTCATATTGTTTGATGCTGAAGGAAGTGTCATCCAGGGAGATAGCGAGGAGCCTTAGTGATTGGCCAAGATAATTAGCTGTTCAGGAGGTTGCTTGAAAGAAATGGGGCTTGTTTCGGAAGGTCTGAAATGTTTCAAATTATCATCTTTTTTTTTTAAGCTGACCCATGGGTTTTCTTCATGCAAAAATCACATCAGGCATGACCTTTATTCCTGAGATCAAGAACAACAGTTTACCTTCAAGATATTTTTTGCCTTTTTTTTTCGTACCTGCCCCAGAATAACTTTTCAGGTCCTCTGGTAGAAAGGAGCAATTTCCTTTGGAACTAAAACAGAGAAAAAAAGAATATTAATAGAAATGGTGTATTACCTCCTTAGGCTGTTATCGAAGTCTACTTCTGAGTGATGACTATGCATTCTTTCAGAAAAATTTCTTAGGGCATAAATATAGCAATTTTCATTGAAGCAACAAAGTGTATTTTTAGTTTTGGAGGTCTTCTCTCTTTTAATCCTCTTCCTAATAAGGTTATGGAGTTCATTTGGATGGCCCCTGAGCCCTCTCGCTCCGGAGGACCTGGATTTTATCATTGTGAATATTTATGGAGGCTATACCCTGGGCCCACAAAGAGACTTTTGTTGTAATGGTGGAAGTTAAGAGCAACACCCCTCTCTTTGTGGGGGCCACCAACCACCGACCACTTGCCCTCTCGCAGTTAGGATAATGTTTTGCCTTGGAGGTTTAAGCTTCTTTTTAAAAAATTCTCTTTAAAAGTTAAGGTTATTTCATTCCTACAATGAATCTGTTTCAGCAAGTATACAAGAATATATTTTGAAATTCAAAACATCTTCTTGCCAGCTAACTAATCTCAGAATCTAGTTCAGCTATTAAAGCAGACTGTTTACCCTATTACCTATGCACCATATTGTGTCAATTTTATCTAGGTCTCCAAAGGCCCCACACCTACCCCCGCAAAGCCTCTCATCTTTGCCCCTGTTGCAAACTGATTATCAGGCACATCTGTTAGGCACGTGGGCTGTTCTGAATGGGGCAAGGTTTTTCAGACCAGACCAGCCAGCCAGTGTTCGGGGCCGGCACCTTCTGGGTCACACTGCCTTTGCATCGCTCTCTTGCTTTGATTTAACACTCTCTATTGAGCATCACACACACCAGGCTGTAGGCTGGACACTGGGCAACAGAGAGGAATAAGTCCCATGCCCAGCCCTCAGGAAGCTCCTAATCGACTACAAAGACATATATGAAACAGGTCAGTGTAGAAGTGCTCTGGTGAGGTTCACAGTCTGGGGGCACGGAGAGAGGTCTCAGTAGTCCTAGCCTTGAGTCTTCAGGCAGAGAGGTGCCACTGAAGGGTGTGAGTTAGGGAGTGTCATTAGCAGATTGGAAAGATACCTCTGAGGAGCAATGTGAAAGGTAGATGGGGCCAGGAGACCATTAGAAACCATTAGAGCAGTTCAGCCAGAGGTGTTGAGAGCTGGCACTCCAGCAGGGATGGTGACGGTGGCAGTGGGGCTCGAGAGCAATGACCAGATCTGAGGGGCAGTTGAGAGACATCACAGCTCACACTGGGCTGGTTGGTTGTGAGAGTCAAAGGGAGTCGTCAAGCATGAGCCCGACCTTTTCTTCTTGGCCACTGAGTTTCTCTCTGCAGTAGCGTTGGAAACATGACGGGGGAGGAGTGTTTGTGTCAGAAGCCAGCATGGAGCAGAGGGAGTGGAAGCGGGGGCCTCTGAGGGTGAAAGGAGGGAGATAAGGCAAGAAAAAAACAAAGTGCTTAGAAGGAAACCCAGACGAGTCCTGGGCGCTAGCCTCCCCGGTAGAAGAGCTCCCTGGGGAGTACCCTGCCCAGTGTACCTTGCCCACCTGGTATCTCAGTGTTATCAACAGCTACCAGTTCTTTCTTTGCCCATCAATTATTGTGTTTGTGTGTGCATGTTCACATGTTTGCTTTAATCCAGTTCTCCCCCACAGAGCCAGGGAGTACATTTTTATAAATGTTACATCAGCAATATTCATTATCTGCCCAAACAAAAATGACTTTTGATCAAGAAAATAAGTAACCAAGTGCAAAGCTTTGCGATGCTCACTGTTTGCCTCCACATAAAGAGAAGGAACTTAAAAACATAAATTACTAAAATTTAAAAACCTGCACAGAAGTTGTATCTCAGAACAAGGGCATTTTCCATTTCAGACCCTGAGCTCTGAAGCTCCCGGAGTCTCACCTCTGCATAGTACCTGCACTTCCAAAGTTCTTGAGGTCTGTCATTTCATTCCGGAGGCACTGACAGAATATGATCTTTAGAACCTCAAGAGGCTGAAGACAGGAGCCAAGAGTGATAAAGATATTTCTCTTGATCAGCAACAAGTCGATAGGCATAAGTAGCAGATATGATAATAGTCAGCTCCCCATCTTTGTCACCCCAGTGTCAGAAATCAACCGAGCAAGCAAAGACAGGCAGATGTGATACCGTTCTCATGCAAGCCTATGTTTATTTCCATTTACTTTAACATCACGAGGAGACAAACAATTGGTCACTTTCTCAGCTTTAAACGTGGCTTATTTTTCTAGCCAGCATCATGCCAGGGCGGCCGGCGTGTTCTCTCCCTTGCTGTGTTAACTAAGTGTGACTTCATTTACAGCTCAGAGGGACTGGTGACAGACCACTGAAACTCAGAGTCTCCCTGTGGGATGTAGGAATACAGCCAGGGAACAGCCAGCCAGAGGGTAAAACCACCTGTGCTGCAGATACCCAGGAGGTCTCGGGCCATGGGGCCTGGGTCTCGTAAGTCTCCCTGTGGGATGTAGGAATACAGCCAGGGAACAGCCAGCCAGAGGGTAAAACCACCTGTCTGCAGATACCCAGGAGGTCTCGGGCCATGGGGCCTGGGTCTCGTAAGTGAGGCAGGAAGTTTGCACCCATTAGTACAGATATGGAGGACTTGCAGGGCTGGGTCTGTGTACTTTTAGCTATCTGTATAAAATCAATTTCCATAGTGATCAGACGTGCAGAAGCGTAATTTCCTGTAAGTCCTGGTGCTGGCTAAGTCGAAATGCTTCTGCTTGTCTGTTGTGATTGTTTAAGACACATGAGCTCAGAGGGAAAAAATTCACTGCAGGCTTAGACTCTGAGTGTCTTGATTTGAAAAGTCAACTTTTAGCTTAACCACTGCTGTATATCCAAGCCAGATCTAAAAATTCACCTGCACCATTGTCTCAATAATTACGATGAAAACAGCAAAAGCTGCATACATGTTTTCTTAAAACATACAGTCCCTTTCTTCTCTGAAAATTAAACATTTTTATGTAGTCTGTCATAATTTCCTTGGGAGGTGAGACCCAAGAAATTGTTACAATTTCTTTTAGCAGCTGGAGTTAATGCTTTCATTATTTTCTCCCAGTTTAACATCTTATTCCACATTAGCAATCTGCAGACAGGCACAGTGCAGTGAGATGTCTGCACCGCTATTGAGAGTTTGGAAACCTGTGCTTTTAGCCCTCTGTCTAGGCTGACTTTGGCCGGAATCCTCCTCCATCTGCTAAAAGCCACACAACAGTTGACATCCACTTCACAAGGTTCTTATGAGGAGTGGAGTGATAATGGTTATAAGATGCTTTGAACCTTTCCAGAGGCAAGTGATCTCAAAACACATGTTCTTTTCACTCACGGGGGGGAGTCTGTGCTTCTGCATGCCACCGAACAATGAGTCTCCTGCCCTCACGCTTCTGTCCTTCGCAAGGGTCTCTCCATCTCTTCAAAAATGTGACTGAAGGGCTCAGCGGGAGCGACGTTGGCAGGAGGCAGAGGCCAGTGTGTCCTGGAGCCAAGGCCTGGTGCAGGGAGGAAGGCCGGGGCTGCACGCCGGGCCCTGTGGCTGGAATCTCGGCTCCTCCACAGATGCTGCGTGGCCGTGGAGACGTCCCTCTTCCTCTGCTCAGCTCTGCGACGGGAGAGCAATCGGTCTTGCACAGTTATCGTGAAGTTTAAGTGGAGTTTTGTCTGTAGTGTCAGCAGCTATGCCTCATGCCTTTACTTGGCCGCGGATAGAGGAGTTGTTTGTTTTTTGTGCCACCATGTGAAAGTATCCACGTGTGCAAATCCTAAATATGGCAAAGCCTCACTTGCCGGTGAACTCACCCACGGAGTCACCACAGACTGGGGCATAGACCGGGGCATGGGCGGGGTGTGTTGGCCGTGAGCTTCCTGCGGGAAGCTGCCCTGCAGAGACTGGTAGTGCCATGGCCCGCACGCCACCTCCCAGCAGTCCCGCAGGACTGCCGCAGCGCCACCCTCCAGATCGGTCGCCCACCGAGGCTCCTCTCCTGACCTCTTTGACCCCTTCCTGCCACGGTGTTCTGCAGCCGTGCCTGCTTCAGAGCCCCCTGGATGCAGTCAAAGCCCAGGAGCAGGGACTCCAGAGTTCTCACAGGACCTCTGTTTCCTTCCTCACCTCATTTGGGGTGCCAGCCCAGCCCCGCTGAGCAGTGTCTGCGCCCCACGGCTCTGGGATCTCCTGCCTCTGCTCTCTTTGCCCTGGCTGTGCTTTCCTTCCTTTTCACTGTCCTGGCCCTCCGTGAGGGACAGCACAGCCTTCCTCCAGGACATGGTCCAAGCCTGGCCACCTGAAGAGGTCTCTCCTCATGCACCTCCCATCACCCTCCTTCCCCTGTGCAAACTGAAGGCTGCTCCTCCAAATCCACAGAGTCATCACCTCTGCAAGCGCTGGCTGCCTTCTGACCAGTGTCCATCACTTGTCCCTAACAGACAGTCACTCCCCAGGTTTTCCCAGCCCAGCCTTCCATGGCACCTGGGCCTGGAAGGCATCCCCCAGATGTTTGCCACAGAGAGAGGTGTGCCTGTTCTTCAGTCTTCTCTGTGAAGACTATGGACCTCACTGAGTCAAAAACATTCCATGACACAACTCCCCACCCCTCCTCCATGCCACCCCGAGAGAAGTGTCTTTAAGTGAGAATTCCCCATAGGAAATTTATGTCTGTGTTCTCATATTCACTCCTCCACGGTGATGCACAACAGCTGTTCGCCATCTTTTGTAAAATCACTTGCAAATGGCAATTAAGTCACTCCTCAGACTTCTCTTCTCCAGGATATTTAATCCCCATTTCCATGACCTCCCGCATGGATCCAGAGTGCGTATCTCTTTGATCATCACTGCTGCCCTTTCTAAAGCCTTTCTAAATTCTGCGTCTTCCTCTTCCATGTGTTACTGGGAAAGGTGCAGTCCTGTTTTCCTAAGATGCCAGTTCAGAAGCCTGCCTCCCACCACGGCTCCCCTGAGCATTGCCCGAAGGATGGCTGACAGGAGCTTTTGCCCCAGGGGTCCAGGCACAGGAGTGTCCCTCTCTGCTGGAAAAGAAGTCAGTGAAGGACACTTTCCTATCTGTGCCCAAGGAAACTTGAAGTTGTTTCATTTACTAGTGAGATGTGTGAGGCTTGAAGATAAGATAGATTTTTGCAATTTACATTGAAAGCAAGACTGTTCAATTGAAGACCTGTTGTCATCTGAAATGATGCAGACTGTCCTACCTTGTCTGCCCTACACACGCCACTGCAGAATACAGCTCGTCCTGCCTTGTCTGCCCTACACATGCCACTGCAGAATACAGCTTGTTTGGTGGAGGATCAAGTTTCCACCCACACTCCTGAGCAGCCTGGGCTTTGAGCAGGTGTGGAGGTCTCTGTGTGTTAGAGGTGGGGCCCGTTTTCTTCTCTGACCTTCTCCAGCTGCGCTTCTCTCTAGGTGGCTGATCAGCCCCACCCTCCTCCTCCTGGCAGGTCAGTTTTGCCCGTTCAGGCCATTTCCAGCCCCTCTCCCAAGTAAACCCAGCTCCAGAGAACAGTGCTCTTACCAAAGGGGGCCTGAGGTCTGCCTCCTTTCTTCAGGCCTCTGCCCTCCACCACACACGTGCACACGTCCACGTACGTGCATGAGTGTGCACCCACATACTTCTGCGTTCTCACAGTGTGTACAGAGACTGAGCCATTCACACCGAGGTTGCCGCTGTCAGGTGACAACAAAAAAGTAGTGGAAGGCCCCGTGACCATGGCATGCCCTCTCCTATGAGGCATGTCCAGTAATTCCACTGTGCCTGGGAACCTGCGGGGCCTAGAGAGGTGGTTATCTTCCCTCTGTACACGTCTGCCCTTTCCCTTCAGAAGGAGCCCCTGCTAGTCCCACAGAGGGACATCACCTTTTGTGTGAATCCTAACTCCTTTTTCTGCATAAGCCCGCTTCCCTCCATGCAGAGTCATTTCTGATTTGAAATAGTAGCAATTGCCTCTTTAAGCAGCCTTTGCATGTGTGCTGGCCAGGAAGGACAAGGGGCACTGCAACCAGTGGGGGAGAAAACGAAGAGAAAACTGGTGGGCCGCCTCCTTCCCCAGCCCCACCCAGCCAGTGTCTCCTCTCTCCATTTTCACCCTACCCACACCACCCACGGGGTGGCCTTCCAGCATCTTAGCACTGCAGATGACACTATGTCTCTCCACAGCTTCTTCTAGAACTCCAAAAGGGAGGGAGGGAGTGTGATTTTATACTTGCATAATTATATACAAATATTAATATATAAAATTCTAAAAGGTGCAGAGCTCAACAGCTTGGAAATATCTTACTGGGAAGGGTGAATTTTATCTTAAAAAGGAATAATTTTTATTGAGTCAACAGTGAAATGTGTTTCTATTCATTCACATAAAAATATCTGTAAGGATATTCTTTCATACCAGGAACTGTTCTAAGTGCTGGGATTAGATCTCAGAGAGCTTCGATCCAGTGAGGAGATGGTTAAAAGTCAAGTAACCAAATAGCCTGCAGTCATAAGCTGTGATGGGTGCTGCAATGCAAAGGACAGGGTGTGCAGTGGGCGCTGGGCAAACAGGGTGACCAGGCTTAGCCTGGGAGGGGAGTCGAGGAAGGCCTCTCTGTAAGCAGAGATATGGGGTATGAGCCAGAGTTATCTAGAAGCAATTATTAAGCAATTGTAATACTTCAAATAAAGCAGACTGTGGGCCTGTTTCAAAACAGCCGGCCGAAGCACTCATATCACGCATCTGAGCTCTGCGCGGTGTGATAGTGATGTGTGTTGTTTTTGCATTTTGTAGCCCATCGTTACTGTAAAGTTCAAATTGTTCGTTGATGTACTAGATGCTGTGATGTTCAGGTGCCACTTTGCTTCGCCCCTCTGCAGGAAGCAGTCATGCATGACATGTCCTATGAATATGCCATGTCCTCCCTAACTTGGCTTTCCCAACCAAAAAGTTCCTTTCAAAGCCCTGAAAGCACCTATTCCGTTGTGTGCGCACTTCTATTTCATCGAGTGTGTTGCTGGTAAGAGAGGCTGTACTGACCGGACTGAGTTCCCTTCCCCATGTAACCCCAGGCAGCGCTGCTTTCTCCAAAGAACAGGTGCTTTTCTGGAGGATCCCTGCTGAGACGTGCCTGAGTAGTTGCAGAGAACCGTTCTGTGTTATGAGTGCTCTATAACTTCTTAATCCTTTACTTTTGTTGTTTTATTTCTAAAGGCTTGAGTTGTCTCTTGAAAACATCTTCCAAGACTGGCTTGAGAGTTCCGGAATACCAAAGGTACACTCAAAATAACTGCTTTAGGAGAGTGGGAGTCCGTGGAAAATAGTAAAGCTTGCTGCTTAGCCTATCGATCACGACGATGATTTTAAATGGACATATAGAAAAGTAATTACCTTACTGAGTTGGAGTATCCCTAAGTCCCGAAAATGCTTGTCTCCCCACCCCATTTCAGCTTGCCGTCGTGGGATGTGCCCCTGGCCACTGTTCCAAGTGACCAAGGTGCTATTGGTGGACATGGTGGTAGCTCTTGTACTGTGAGCTAAATGAGGTCTTGCCAAGTGTGGTGTATATTTCGGGTGGAATCGCCAGGCAACAGTTTAAAGCCCCCAGTGGGTTGGGCAGCTAGCCTCCAGCTCTGCTCTTTGTACATAGCCAGACGAGTGAGCCAGTTTGCTGCCACATTCGTCTGACCTGTCCTGCCCACTGGGGTTTCTGTTCCTCATTTCCTTGGCATGCCTGCCCCTGACTTCCTGCCCTGGTTCTGCATCAAGTTCCTGCCTCAGTCTGTCCTTCTCACCTGCATGACCTGGTAGAGTCACTTCTCTGTCTTAGGGACCTAGGCTCACTCCTATTCGAGATTTTGTTTTCTCTTTCCCTTTCGGTCTATGGGCAGCTCTGAGGGAGAAACCTTTTTGTGGCCTCCCTCACTCTGTGGGAATTGTCTGGCCTGGAGCCCCCTCCTCTATCCTGTCCAGGTCCTGCGCCTCCCAGAGCCTACCGGGAAGCCCAGGCCCCCTTGCCAACCCAATCTCTGACCATAGCAAGAGGCTAGGACCTGGGAAGTCCTAGGGTGGCACTTCAGATGGGGCAGTCAAAGACCCTGCAGGCCATGGCGGAGGGCCTTGGAGGACCCTCATGGCAGTGAGAAACTGCCAGGGCCCAGGCAGGCAACCCGTTTAGCCTGCTCGCTTCTGGTTTCATGGATGCTTATATGAGCTTCCCCTCAGGACTGTCTGAATGTCAGTGAGTGTCTGTGAACCTGGAAATGGAGAAGGGCGGCTGCTCTCCATACCCTTTCATCCCTCTACTCACATCTCCGTCCTTCTTGCCACAAGGGAAAAATGTGGCCACCAGCCACCTTTAGCTTACTCCTAGAAAAGGACAATTTGCAGTCAGTTCGGAAATGTGTGTCACCTGTTAAAAGTTATTTGTTTGGCCCAATCCTGGGAGCAAAAAAGAGTAAAATCTTGAGCCTTAAAAACAAAACAAAGCAGAGGTGGAGTAAGGCAGTGCTTTCAAGTAGTACATGTGACAACGAGGTACTGTGGTTTCTAAGAAGGTGACTTCCAAACCATACCACTCACTGAGTACAAAAATCCAGGGAAAACAAGTTAAGGTTTGTCTGGTTGTCAGCAGCCAAGCCTTACTCTTCTGTTACTTGTTGGGAGTGGTGGGCGTGGGCGGGATTCGCTGAAGCCATTTGCCTTGTGTTCCTAAGCCAGGCTGTTACAAGACTCCCAGACATTCTTAGTGGGGCCTGGAAGGTGGGACGAGTTGGAAGCCCAGAGAGCCAGCTCCCAAATTTCCTGGCCTGGAACAACAAGGTCGCTGTTTGCAGCAATTACCCCAGAGGGAAGGGAAAAGAAAGTTCCTAACTGAGTGCCCAGAAGCTGGCACAGCCAGCCTACTTGGGTTGTAGCGCTGGGGCTGACCCTCTCACTGCCAGTGTGCTCTGTAAGAGGTGGAGGCTTGCCACCAGCAGGAGGCTTTTGCTTTTTGTTAAAGGGGGTAGAGGTATGTGGAAAGGAGAGATTTGCCTGTGAGCTGTTCAGTTTTTACAAAGGTCTGGTTGTATTAGTGACAGCTTACAGTGTAGACAAGAATCTCTGCTATAAACTGACAAAACCTGCTGTCAAAACAGCCAGGTGCAATGAGGCCAACCAGCTATAAATTGTCTTTAAGACCCAACTGGTATTTCCTTGGGTGCTTAACTGTTCAGTAAAAACAACAGTGTCAGACAGGAAAGACCCTGATTTAGTGCACGTCTTTCCATTGGTGAACGGTCAGGTGATATCTTTTCATCTCTTCTGCCCGTTTTCTGCCATGATTTTGTATGGCTGGCGATGATTTACCTGCTCTCGGCCCCTTTGCACTCCTCGAGAGTTCCTTCTGGTTTCCACTTCAGTGAAAGGCTCTCAAGGGCCACAGACCCTCTGGCTGCAGGAGTCTCGTGGTGAATGGGACACCTTGTTCTTCGTCACCATCATTATGATATACAGTTACTAGTGTGCTTGCCCTGGGAGGGCAACCGGAGCACTGAGATTGCTCTGATACTCTTTGTTCTCAGTAAAAATTTCTGTCCACCAGCAATCAAAGTCATTAATGACAAAAGACTCATGTTCTACTGGTGAAGTTTTCATTCCACAGGTTACAGAGGCTTTTTGTCTTCTGTCAGGAAGGCTTGCCCTGTGGTTGGCCTCGATTTTCCTTTTTGGCCACGTTGAATGGAAATCATAAAAAAATAAAGAAAGAAAGAACTGGAAATAGCTCTAACAGCAGTAAAAGTAAGTATGACCCCAAAGAAGCAAAAGAAATTAGATCTAAACCTCTTTAAAGAACTCCCTATAACCTTTGGCCTTGCAAAGAGTTTTAAAATTGTACCATCAGAATTATAGATTTTTTTCCTTTTGTGACATTTTTTCTGATTATAGAAGTATTACACATTTACTTTGGAATATAAGAAAGTTTACAAATAAGAAAATAAAAATAACCCTGAGATAATTTCTTGATATACATCCTTTTAGTCATTGTTCTGTATGTATAAATACATATCTTACCCTTTCCTTTCTCTCCCTTTTTAAAAGTAAGATACTGTCTGTAGCAAGTTCTAATAATAGCAAGGTAAAAAACGTGAAATCCCTTGCCCCCTTCATTTTACTCCCCAGAAATAACCCTGAGCGATACCAGCTTGGTGTGTGGCCTCCCACACGTCTTCTGTGCTGTACAGCATTAGGTGCATATCCTTTTTAAACAAAATTTGAATCTTACTCAAAATTAAATTTTTTACTTAAGAATATATCTTAAACAGTTTTCCACATCCCTTAATATAATTCAAGAGCAATATTTTTTTAACAGCGACGTTGCTTCCTGGTGAATAGCCCTGTAATTGAATTTACTCGGCTCCTCCCCACCACTGTTGGAAGGGTGTACATTATTTCTGAGAAAGTTGCACATTCTGTTAATTTGGCAGCTCTATAAATAGATTTTAATTTCTTTTCTTGTCTGCCCAAAGTTTCCCCCACCCCATATGCACATATATGAGTATTCCAGTCTTCTTTTTAAACATTAATATGCAAATGCACTAGAAATAACTCTTCTCCATCCAGCATGTCTTCTGTACTCCCTGTTTTGGTTACTACAGAACTCTCTGACTCCTCCTCCCTTCTTTGATCTCCTCCCTACATTGCCAAGTCCTGAGGTCCTTACATGCTCACTTTTCAAATTTCTGAACTTCTTTGCTTTCCTAGCACCTCCACAATTTTTTTTCATTAGGTTTTGCTTGGACTAGTGCAGTAGCTAATTGTTCCCTTAGCCTCCAAGCTCTCCCCCTTTTTATCTATCATTCATATCAATGCCAAGTGAATCTTCCCAAAATGTAGCTCAAATCCATTCTCACCAGAAACTTTTTACCCACTGACAATGCATTTAGAGCAAACTCTTTGGCCTGTTATTTGAGTTTATCAACAATACTGCCCAAAGCTACTTTTTAACCTCACTTTCCACCATTCCAGGCATTCTACCCAACCATAACTACCAGTCTCCAAATATTTGTGAGCTTTACCACCAGCTTTCCTTGGCACATGCCCTTTTCTTTCCTTTGTCTGTATTTAGCATACATTGTAGCCTGCCTTATATTATTACTGTTTGTACATGTGTCTACCATGCCCTACTCCCCAGCCCCAGAACAATGGTGTGTTTGACTTGTCCTTTGATGCCTGTCGTGACGCTCATCAACTTTGGGCCTTGCACATAGAAGATGTTCAGGGGCTCACTGCCCAATACAGTAGCCATTAGCCACACATAGTTGTTAAGCACTTGAAATAAATCTAGTGCACCCAAGGAGCTGAATTTCTAATTTAATCTTAATTAAATTTCAATTTAAAATCTAATAATTCAGTTATTGTTTGGAACAACTTAGATATGTGAGTGAATCTACTTCTTCAACTGTAAATTGTATGAAATATAAATACAGAGCAAGCATTCTGATTAAAATTTAGCATCTGAATCAAGATGGAGCATAAAAACATGTCAGACTTAGAAGACTTAGTATAAAAAATGAAGATAAAATATTTTATTGAGGATCTTTTTATATAGGTTACATGTTGAAATGATAACATTCTAGATAGATTGCAACCCGATGTATATATATATATCCAATAAAATATTTTAAAATTAATTTTGCCTGTCAACTCTTAATTTTAAATATGGCAACTAGAAAATATTAAGTGACACACGTGGCTTGCATATACTCCTATTGAACAGACTGCTCTAAAGCTATTAGTTGAATTAAAATTTGAGTGCATAGTGCCTTAAATTTACCCAGTGAATAGATATGTCTAAAATCATCTGTATTTTTCTCAAACACAGGTAAAGATAGACCTGGCTAATCCATAGACACTCTTCAGTTTGTTGTGACAGGAGGGTTGGTTATAATCTACAGGTAAAGGGTCAGAGTTCTAGGTTCACAGTTGGAATTCAAAGAGCATGAACTAATTACCAGCCTTGCTACAGCTCTTAATTTCAACTCCAGAGGTAGGAACTCTGCCTCAGGTGACCCCCACAGCCCTTCTGTGCCTTGGACTCCTCTTGGAGGAAATGCGTAGCAGCCATGAAATGGCAAAATTATCACAGCAGTGGAAGTGGGTAGAGAAGACGGGTCGACCACATGACATGTCCTGGCAACAGGCAGGATTCAACTCAGGTTCCCAGATTTGCTCTTGAATCCCAGCATTTTGTCATCTTGGGAAAATTGTCACTTCTTTCCAAGCAAATACCTG